TTTTTCTTTAAAATAAAATAACTGATGTCAAAAAAAAAATTTGCTCATTAGGCTGACAATATTGCTCAGGGGTTGTGTCTGGCAAGCTCAAAGTCCTGAATTCAATAAAAAAAAAGAAAAAAATGTATTATGATGTACTGCAAGAGAAAGCAGGTAGAAATCTTGAAGACACTGATATAGGTAGAGAGGTCAGCAGCAGAATTCAGATTGCACGGGAAATACTTCAAAGAATCAATATTGGGTATCTCATCTTCTTAAGAAGCTTTTGCACAGCAAAATAAATCATCAACAAAGTGAAACGACAACCCACAGAGTAAGAAAAAGTTTTAGCCCATTGTCCCTCAGTCAAAGGACTTCTGTCCAGACTATATAAAGAAGTGAAAAACTTAGATCCCCCCAGTTCAAAGACCCAGTCCGAATATAGGCATTTAAGACAAGCATACACTTCTCAGGTGAAGCAATACAAATGGCAAGTAAATATATGGAAAAATGTTCAACATTATTACATTTTTGAAAGATGGAAATTAAAATAACACAGAGACTGCATCTTACCTCTGAAAGAACAGCTATCATCAAGATATCAACCAATAACAAATACTGGAGGGGCTGTGAGGGAAAAGGAACTATTCTCCACTGTTAGTCAGAGTGTAGGCTGGTGCAACCACTGTGGAAATCACCGTGGAGATTCCTCCAAAAACTAGGATTAGAGATCTCATGTAATCTAACTATTCCTTTTTTGGGATCTTCCCAGAATAATTTAAAACATCAGGGTTAGGAAGATAGCTCAGCGGTCTAAGACCTGCCCAGAAAGTGCACGGAGCTGGGTTCAATCCACAATACCTTATGTGGTGCCAGCCTCAGAACCCTGGGCATGCTGTGCCAGCCACCAATATCAGGCGTGATGATGCACACCTGTAATCCCAGCACTGGGGAGGCTGAGACAGGAACATCACTACTAGTCTGAGCTGTGTAGTGAGATCCTGCACCAAAACAATAAATAAATAAAAGGTTTTTTAAAATTATGTATGTGCACCCATGCGTATAGCAGCACAATCTGTAATAGCAAAATCTTGGAAACAACCCAAATGCCTGTCAAAAAAGGAATGAATAATAAAGATGTGGTATTTTTATACAATCGAGTACTACTCAGCCATAACGAAGGATAACCTTGAGGCTTTTGTAGGTAAATCAATGCAACTTAAGACCATACTCATAAGTGAAATAAATGAGATTCACGTGTGCAACATTGTGCTGTCTCTCTGGTGTGAGAAACTAAAAGAATAAATAAGTTCTAAAACATACAACAGATATTGTGAAATGGGAAGAAATTGTTCAAAAGGAAAAAGGAAACAGGATGGGTGAAAGGGGAAAGAACAGTAGGGAAAAGGGAAAAATGCAAGTCAGTTAAACTATTATTGACTCTTAATTCACTAAAAAAGAAAGCTATTATTTATTTATTTATTTATTTTGTACAGGGTCTCACTGCACCGCTCAGACTCATAGTGATCCTCCTGTTTTCAGCCTCCCCAGCGCTAGGATTACAGGCACACGCCATCACACCTGGACTCAAAGAAGCTAATATTGACTGGAGAAATTTTGGGCTAATATCAATTGGAGAAATTTTATGCAGTACTTTTACCCTGAGAAGCCACTTTAAAGATAACAATATGTAATGCATTAACTATTGATATTCTGCTATTATTTTTCTATGAAATCATTTTTAATGTTTTTACATAAAATAAAAAATGTATTATGTATAAAGAAAAAACATGCATCAAACATATCTGGAAGTTTATTCGGGCATCTTCATTTGTTCAAGAAAGAAGGGAGTATTATATTCCATAATAAAAAGATAGCGCTAAATTATTTTGACTCTGTTGAAAATAAAATTAGTAAAATCATGCCTTAATGAATATGAATTGAATATGGTGAATTTTTGGACACTTTTTAATACCTTATATCAGTTAAGTGATATCCTTGGACTATGGTCATTTTCTTTGAAATTATTAGCAAGAAGAGACATTTTCTGACTCTTTGAGTTGAAATATGGTGCTAGGAAAATGTTCACAGGCTTAGGATTTGTTATTTGCCTTTATTTGATTTCCATGAAATACATATGAATTGATTTAAATGTTTATGATTGGAAGGTAAAAGTTGTGAAATAATGTGCAGTTCATTCTAAGCACAAGGGGCAAGCACTTTTAGGAAAAAGGATGATTCATTCCATACCACTGCATGTTTACTTGTTTTTAAGTAAAATGGACCTAAAGGAAATTTTTTCTGAAAATTTTCATTTGTAAATTACATATTTGGGGCTTACTTTAATCTCAAGGGATGGCCAACAACCCACTATAGGAATTCTATCTGCTAGTCATTTCTTTCTTGGGTTGTAGTGGTTATGAGCAGTTCAAAAGGCCTAAGACTTGCTTTCCTAACTCAGGCCAAGGGAACAAACCCCATCATGTTCTTGATTCAACCTATTAAAATAAAGGGAGAGTTTCTATACATTAGAGGACCACATTCTTGATTTCTGATAACTAGAAAATGTCCTTTTAATTGCTGGCTGACATCACTGAAGTTGATACTGCCCTGAACTGGGATTCCCTGCTTCTCCTGTCTGTGATGGAGTCATCTAAAGTCTTTAGGAAGAGAAAGATAAAACTGGGCACATTCTAGTGGGCCATGTTCTGTCTTTCACTACTTTTTAAAAATTTTACCCCTAAAACTGTGTCTAAAATTGTTCTCATATCCCTTTTTGGTAGTATGATCATTAGAGATCAAAGTATATGTTTGAACATTGTTGAAAACTTTTTGATATTCGCAAACCCAAATGTATCAAGTTTACAAAGGCCTGGCACTGTGATAAGTACCTGGATAGAAAGGTAAACAAAACAGACATTGTTTCAGCTCTTACTGCATTTTCTTTGTAGCTGCAAGGACACGATAGTTAGGTAGGCGTGACCAGAGGACAGGGCCTCATATTTGATAGTCAACCAATAATTGAGTTCAAAAGGCATTTTCATCCTTTAATTTCTATTTGAAAGTCTCCAGCAACCATGCTTTGAGAATGTAAAGAAATTTAAGAAATAGTTCCTGACTTTATGATAGAGTTTGTATTCAGGCTTGGAAGACAGAGTAACAATAATAATCAAGGTAGAATCTTTTGCTTGAATAAAATGCCAGTGCTGGGGGTTTGGCTGACACTACCAGAATACTTGTGTCCAATGCACTGCCTTTGATCTACTCTGGCATCACAAGAGTGGCATCTGTCTCTTGTCACTTTGTTCTTGCCTTTGTATCCATCTTGAGAATGACGTCTCCTTCCCACTACAGTCTTTATTTTTTTATAAATTTTATTGAGAAACAAATAGCAATGAGACAGTTTCAAAACAGGTTAGTAGGACAGTTACAATAATGAATACATTGCATATTGTTGTCTTCATAATGGTTATTCATAGTATAAGAAGCAGACATGATATATTGTCCAAACACTATTAGTACTAACCTTTCTTCTCACTGAATTAAGAGAAAGTAGCTGCATATCTATCCTATTTTGTACATGCAGATATGTAGATAGACAGAGATAGATAGATAGATAGATAGATAGATAGATAGATAGATAGATACATAGATACATAGATACATAGATAAATACATAGATAGATACATAGATACATAGATAGATACATAGATAGATACATAGATAGATACATAGATAGATACATAGATAGATAGATAGATACATAGATAGATAGATACATAGATAGATAGATAGATAGATAGATAGATAGATAGATAGATAGATAGATAGATAGATTTCACTACAAAATGGTCCTTCATATATTATCCCCCTTTTATGTTTAGTTTTGTCAGAGATGGGTATTCCAACATGGCTGACACTGACAAAGGATCTACAAACTGCAGTACAGGGTTTCAGGGTAAATCCTGAGGGGACTTGACTGACCTTGTCAGACACAAAAGTTACATTTCTTGTTATGTAAGTCTTGCTTTATCTTGGTCTTAACCATCTAACAGAAAAGTATAAAAATGAGGTATAAAAAATAAAGCCATATTAATATGCGGATCTGTAAAAAGCTCAAGTCAACAACTTCTGACATTGCCAGTCCTACGGATAACCCACTATTATTAGGGACTACCTAATGGACTCTATCGGATTATTTTGCTAAATTCACACACTACAGTCCTTAACAGGCAAGAGCAGCCAGTTGACAGCTCCTTGCCTCCTGTGGACGTGCTGGGTATCGTGTATCAGCAATGAGGAGAGTAACAAAGACAAGCCTCAAAGACAAGCAGTTCAGGGCTCTGCTATGGTTTATACCTAGATGTCTCCCCAAAGCCTCATGGTGTTGTGGAAAAAACTGAATCAACAGTAGCCAAGAGCTCAGGAGAGAAAAGGAAATTTTGTTGAGGTTAGTGGGCCCCAAAGGAGTAATCTCCAAAGTCTGAGAGGGTGGCGATCACAGAGCTTATCTTATTTATAGAGTGGTCAGAAGTTACAAGAACAAGATGAACCAGTCAGCTGAAGGTTATGGTACAGTGGCTTTCTTGTGGTGAGCACAGTTGTACGCAACAAAGTTCTTTTCAGCACATTCACAGAAGTTTAACTTTGATGACAATTCACATGATTTAGCTGCGTTCTTTAACAGAGAACAGAATGATTGTAACTTTGTTGAAACAGAAGCGCTGTAACTAACTTACTGTTAAGAGGAGTTGTCTGAGTGGAGAAAAACAAGTCACTGGAGTGTGACCTAGAAGGCCCTGTCTTCCTCCCTGCTACTCCTTTTCCCTCCATGTGGGCAGCTTTTCCAGTCCAGCCTTCTCTACTGTTCTGTTTCTTCTCTGGAGCTTGCAGACAGACCATAGCCTGAAACATGCGCTAAAGCAAACCTGAAGTCCTAAAAGCAGAATTTCCTCATCCTGGTAAGAATTGGGAAACACAGAATGAGAATCCAAACTTCTTGGTTCAATCTTTTTATTCCTTGCTCTAGAGAAGGAACTGTCTATTCTAAGATATTCCATCTCTGTTATTCTGAGAAGAACCTGGTGTCCTTGGGAAATCTGAGAACAGCTTTTATTTTTGTAAAGACTCCTTTCTTTTAGAGACAAACCTGATTTTCTCATATTTTTACCTTAATAACATGAATGGCTGATTTTATGTGATCTCCAGTTCTCATCCCTGTCACTCAAACCTGGTGTTTTAACAGAATAACACCTAATAACTTGAAGTTTGCATGGTTAGCTCTGATTATTTCTTTAATGCTTTGTGTCAGATATGAGATGGTAAGTTCTATGTCTAGGAAGACAGAGGTATAATAACAAAGACTGACCCCAACAAGACATGACAGTTCCCTCTGGAGAATAAAGGTGGAACCATCTAGAGATTCAACCCTATAGTGTAAATTTTGTTGTCCCTTTTCTAATAGTTCCCTACTCTGGACATACTGAATGAGAATCAATGTTGAAGGAATCAGGAACAGAGGGTGAGAGCACATAGAACTTGAAAAATCTCCAGAATTACTGATTCTCAGTTAATTTTTTTCACATTTGTTTCCTCCTCATAGTTAAAGAACAGAGTATACTTCTATGGGACTGAGTAGTAATAAAACAATAGTAAAGAATACTATAGTAGCACAGTTTTACAGACTATTTAAAACAAAATCTATTCTGAAAGTCCTCTTAGTCTCTGATGACCTGTGACTTTGCTTGTGATGTCACAAGTGAATGGATCACCTCATAATGACTTCGTAATGGGGTCTGGCGTTCTCATAATAGGACTCTTGGCCTTGGTTTCTAGGAACACAGAGCGTAGTACCGTTCATGAAAGGAACCAGGTAGACGAATCATATTGCTCTTCATGGAGAAGATGAAAAACTTCTTTCTCGTTATCCTGGTTACTGGCTGTTTCTATTGTAAGGATTTATTGAAGAATCTTGAGGAAACAAAAATCATTTGATCTTCTAGGGGTGGTAGCTAGCCAATAATAGTTGCTGTTTAGATGTAAGAATTCCTGAAACTTAATGTTTTCCTCACAGTTAAGAAATTCTTTACCTCAACTAGAGCAACTGTCAATGGTTCACTGGTTAACACTGGCTTAGACAATTTCAGACTTGAGATATTTCGAGGATTAGCTATAAGAGTTATAATCAATATCTGGCAAATAATTTGGCCTCCTCTGTTAGCTAATCAATTTTTGGTTTATTCCCTCTTTCCCATCCCCCCATCCCACTTTTCCACACATTGGTATTATGTGTGTGTACGGGTGTACACACAAATGTGTTCTACACAAAGTCATGTCAGTTTTTGATTTTGTTAATACCAGAGTACGAGTAGGTGTCATGAGATCTTAAGAGAAGAAGAGAAGACTCAGTGTTTCCTCACTCTTGCCAGCTGTGTGACACCAACAACTGAAGTCCATGATGTGAAACTGAATTCACTAGGTAAATGGCACAGGTAGATGCAGGTACAAAGAGACGGTTCGGGTGCAGTAGCTGAAAAATGTCAAGCAGGACATAAAATATGAGAGGGAAGCAAACTCTTACGAGCCTGAGTAAACAAATGTTTACACAGAATTCTAGGCATAAGGAAAAGCTTCTTGATAAGTGGGTATAATTTAGACAAAGGGCCCATTCAAACAGGTGATAATGAGAAAGCAAGGCAGTTGTCTACGATTTCTATGAGCAGGCAGTGAGGATGACTGTGAAAAGCTAGACCTTTCTTTAAAATAGGTTCACATGATGTCTGATTGACCCATCAGTGCATAATACCACTGATTTTAGGAGAATGAAGTTATAATTTACTTCTTTGCTGCCTAAGTTCAGCACCAAATCTGCAAATGGGCTAATGTTGTGTTTCCAGAGAGGCTATTAAAGGTCTCAGGCACAAGGAGAAGGAAACAATATTTAAGAATCAAATACCACAAGATAAACCTTATATGAAGAAATTAATTTTCTGCAAATTTCATGGTTATTAATTTATGTGTGATAATTCAATGGCAACGGCTTGTATTTCACTATTGCATCGTTTTAATTAAGCCTTTAATATCTTTTAAATTTGTAAATATTTTTTTAATTTCAGGTGCTTTTGGTGACCACGCAATTAAGGTCAGTTTACCATTTTCTGTGTAAGAATCATTTTTCCAGTCTTAGTTTAATAGGATTTGGATTAGTTTGAAACATATTAAACCATTATAAAACTGCCACTATTTGGCCATTTTCAACCATCACTATTATCCAGTTCAATCTAAGTAGCTCTGCAATATACATTTGAGGTAAAACCAAAAATGATCCTCCTGCCTTTTCTGCTCACTTACGTCTTTGTGTACCACTGATGATTAAAGCTCCAGTTTAGTTTTCTTCTCTCCCTCCAATTTCATTGTGTTTTGTGAAGTCTAAGCTCTTCTCAACTTTTGCCCATGTTGTTGCAATAGGCATTTGATGTTCTCCTTACATTTAATCTGATCCAGGAGTTGGCACACTAGGGCTGTATGTCTTGGAAAAGTAGAGTTTCTCTTGGAATGCAGGTGTGCCCCTACATTCGTGCACATTTTATCTTTGACTGCCTTTATACTAGGACAACACAGCTGAGTAGTTGCAACAGAGGTCAAATGGTCAAAAGAATCATAAAATATTTATTTATATTTATTTATTTGTTTGCCAGTTAGTTAGTTAGTTAGTTAGTTAGTTAGTTAGTTAGTGCAGGGTCTTGCTATGCAGCTCCTGTCTCAGCCTCCTCAGCTCTGGAATGACAGGCGTGTGCCACCACGCCCAGTTTCGTGGGATGGCACTGGGCTGGCATGGTGTGAGGTACCGGGATTGAACCCGGGTCCTTGACAGACAAGCACTTAGACAGTCAGGCTATATTCCCAGCCCAAGATATTTATGAACTTGCTCTTAAGATGAAAAGCATACTGACCTCTGTGCTAGTCTTATTATCTTTCTAATATGTAAATCTGAATGAGACTTCTTATTTAAAACAGTGATTCCTAGTGTCAAGATAAAATTTTTATATGTTTAAAAATTACCTTTTTCAGCTTTTCTTACATTTTATTTTTTGTTAGAATGTGTTCAAAATGCATGAAATTTATATTGACCACAAAGTACATGTACATAATCCATCTTGATTATTTTTTATTTCTCTTTCCCTTCCCATCCAATTCCTTTTCTTGGACTTAAATATTCTCCCAATTTTCATCATTATTATTATACTTATTTTTCAAAATCATCTAGAATTTATTGTTCAGCCTCTTGCTCCCTGAGAGAACTACCCTTCTTTCATCTTAGAGTCTTGTTAACTTAAACTATTTTTAAATAGTTTAACTCAAGTTTTTGTGTTTTATGTTAATAATTTCCTCAGATTCAGTATCTTTTAAGTTATTAAACATATGAGTGTACTCATATCCAAGTTAAAAAGCCATTTGCGTTGCTGTAACTGGGATCACCAAAATCTTATGTAAAAGAGAATAACCTAACACTCTGTATAAGTGGATGTACTGTAATGTGAGGTACTTGGAGCCGCCAGTGCGGTCTTCTCAACTGCTTGTTTTGCAATGCTCAGGAGCTGCCCAAGCTGCCTCTACCTAATGATAATATTCTCATACTCAAGATCTTCTAAGTCCAGTTTAGTCCAACTTGTAAAAGAGGAAAGCAAAGGACAGTGGGGGAGAAAACTAGGAAAATTTGAACCAGATGGCTTTTGCTCTTATTGGCCCAGAGCTCTAGTCCCCAGAAAACGGAACTACTGCTGACGCCAGAGCAAGACCACGTGGTGTGTCCTGTTCCAGGTTGCAGAGTGAAGTGAGGGGAGGGGGGTGAAGGCCGAGCGTGACCTCAGAAGCTCTGCACAGTGCTCTTGGTCACTCGCACATGGTGGTTAGCTATTTCAGTAACTCCTTAGCAAAGGTTTCCTTCCTTGTTCCCCAGTTGTCTGGGTGAGAGGGCCTCGGTTGCCCTCGAAGATGGCTCTCTCTAAAGCCCTGGCCGCTAATTTTTTTCATAAAAAGTTTTGATGTTTGCGATTTATGAAAATTTATCAGAATGTCCTGTTCTCTTTGCACAAAATAAAACACCCAACCACTTATATTAGAAGAAATAAAAGATCATTGTAGGATAGAGAATGTGACCTGTGAGTTTTCTTTTAGACCATTTCGTGCGAAGCTTATGAAAGAGAGGATGAGCAGGAGAAGCACACATGCTCCATTCGACTCAGCCCGCTGTGCGCCTCCAACAATGTCACGTACCCTAATTCCTGCGTGTTCTGCTTTGCCAACATGTAAGTGAGAACATAAAAGCAAGCCCAGACCTCTCCTTTGAGAATCTAACGTATAGATCCTTCGCAGCTGTCTGATAGTCAGTGTTTTGAAAAAACATGCGCGAGCACCTTAGGATGTGGTTCTATAAGCTAAAAATGATGCAACATGAGGCGGAGCCTGAGACAAGTGAGGGTGATGGGGAGCGAACAAACAGCAGAGCGAGTCCCTTCTCCAGATCCAGAAGAGAGGCCTCCCTACCTCTCCTTTGACCATGAATTTCAACGTGATATTCTGGGGGTGGGGATTTTGTTTCTAAAACCTTGGAAAATCTGAGCTATTGGAAACATCACCCTTTACAAGACTTCATAAAGCCAAAAGTCTTAGCATTCAAGGTCAGAAGAACCTTGGTTAAATCCTGCTCCTGTGGTTCAGTGATATTGGAAAAACCACCCAGCTCCTCCAAAACTCAAGTTCTTAGCTCCATATCCAATGTTATACTTCCACTTCCCTCACCAAATATGCTGCTTCTGAAGTGGCCCTTCTTCCTGATATTTTCAAACACAGGAAGCTCTTTGCTGTTTTGGAAAATTTGACCCAGCTGACCTCCCTTATAGGAATATTTTCCTCCTGCTTTTCACAAGGCCAGTGCATTTTGCATCACTTAGACAGTATCTGGTCATTATCTTCCTTGACAATCCTATATACAATAAAGTCACCTCTGTATTTTCCATATTAATCCTTTCTCCTTCCTTCTTAATATTTATCATAACTCCAAATTTTTAATAGTCTATTTTTCTATCTAGGTCTTTTTTACCATATTCTATCTCATGAAGTCAAAAGGTATCTATTGTATTCCCAGCATTTAGGATAGTACCACTATCAAATAATCCCCTGGCAAGTATGTGTTAAGTAAATACATCAGATGGTTCTCAGGAAAGTGAATATAATACTGGATATAAAATATATTTGTAAAATTAAAACACCCTTTATAATTAATTTTTTAAAATTTTACCATTTTTTATTTTGGCTCAATCTTTCAGAATGGTGATTAAGAGTGAAGGCTCAAAACCCCATATAGAGAGTGGAATCTCAGCTTTTCTGTAAACAACATGATTTAGGACAGATGACCTAAACTCTGGAATTACCACGGAGGTCATTTAAGTGGGTTTAAAAAAAATATTGCATAAAGAAGTCTTAACATAGTGTGTATCATATAGCAGGCCCTTAATAAGTAATAGCTTGAGTGACCTTGTGTTGCTACCAGCTAGAGATCCATTCATACCAACTTTCTAACGACTGAGGGTTCTCCTGAGATGTGGCACTTTGAATACTAAAATAGAGCCAGCACAGACAAAACAGAACTCTTGGTCACTGTACCATCAACTTCCCTTTATAGTCAATACCCTCTAGTACAGTACATTCCATAATCGTTCACTCAGATTAGATAATCTACAACATAAATACCCTCAGCCAGTACAACAACATATTCCAGATCATCTCAAGGCTTTGATCTCATAGGCCTCTAACTAATCTCCACTGTGGTCCTAATTCAGTGATTCATGCAGATGGATTTCCCAGGATGCAAAGAAACTATGCCATAAGATTCCTTCTCCTTCCCCAAATTTAGGATTAGCGCTCTACTTTCATCCTTACTTCAAGCTACTGTCTACCTTACTGAGATCTCAAAATATTTGGAGTTACAATATATTAAGAAGAAAAGAGAAAAGACTTGATATAGAATTAAAAACTTCTTAGTGTTAAAATTTATCCTTAGGATTTTAATTTCAATAAATGGGTAAATAATAAATGTATTTCTTTAAAGTGCACAACTAGTGGTCTTCAATATCTTTGCAGAGTTTTACAACTGCCACCACTATACATTCATGCACAAGGTTTTTCATAAGCATGTATTGCTTTTTCATGTGTAAACCTAAGAGTGAGTTGCTGGGATTTATGGTAAGTTTATGTTAAACATTTTGAGAAACCACCAACCTGGTTTCCACAACCCTTGCAAACCTGTATAGTAACACTAGCTGAATTTGAAGGTTCCAGTTGTGCCACATCATCACTAACACTTGTTATTGTCCATCTTTTTAAGACATTCATCTTCTTGATGATAATCATCTTACTGGGTATGAAGAGGTACCTCATGGTTATGACTTACAGTTCCCTAGTGACCATGTTTTACTGTTATTTTATGAGCCTACTATCATTTTTACATAGCTTATTTGGAGAAATGCTTCAAATACTTTGCTCAATTTCTAATCCAATTGTCCTTTTACTATTAAACAGTAAGAGTCAAACTGTAAGTTTTTACTCAATACAAGTTCCACATGAAATGCATATTTCCAATCATTTTTCCCATTATGTAGGCCATGTTTTCATCTTAATAGTGATGCCTTACGAAACACAGACAATTTCATATTTTGATGAAGTCCAACTTACTTTTATTGCTTGTGTTTTTGGTGTGATAGCTAAGAAAGCATTGCTTAACCCAAGGTTATGAAGATTCACTCACGTCCTCTGAGCTTAGACTCTATAGAGTTGCAGATTTTTTTTAAATTTATTTATTTATTTATTTGATACAGGGTCTTGCTACACAGCTCAGACTTGTAGTGATCCTCCTGTCTCAGCCACCCCAGCGCTGGGATTACACGCATGTGCCACCACGCCTGGTTTCATTGGCCAGCATGGTGTGACTGGGGTTCCAAGGCCAGCATGGCATGTGGTACTGGGGATCAAACTCGGGTCCTTGTGCTTGTGAGGCAGGCTCTTAGACCACAGAGCTAACTCCCCAGCCCAGAGTTGCAGATCTTACATCTAGGTTTTGTGTTCATTTTAAAATTTTGTTGCTGTTATTTTTATTGTTATGAGGGTATTAGGAGAGTTTGGCTTTTATTTTATTTCTTTTTTGTTTTGTATATGACATGAAGTAAAAACCACGATTTTATTCTTTTGTGTGTACCTGTTTCAGCAACATGTTAAATTCTCTATTGAATTGAGAATTGTCTTTTGAATTGTCTTTTCAGTTTTTTGGAAATTAATGTTGTTTATTTCTGGACTTTAGTTCCAGCAATGGATATTTCTTTTTATATTAATACCATATTGTCTTGATTACTGCATTTACTGTTAAATTTAGGAATCAGGAGGTAGGAGTTCTCTTTTTCAGTTTGGCAATTCTGGGATCCTTGTTGAAGGTCTTATTAAAGAATAATGTACAGATGTATTCAGCATAATCATTCTGAGAATAAAATACTAGGAAAAATTAAATGGTCTACTAATAGATAGTTTCAATAATTTATAGTATATCCACATTTAATACTTCCTATTAAATAGTTCATAAGTATAGTTGTGTTACTGTGAATAGCAACATGATTAATATCAATGTGCTGATACAATAGACTTTACTAGCAAGAAGTCCTGTATCTCCCAAGACTTCTATTTCCCAAAGAGCTCTATCATCTTCAAAGATAACTGAGAGAAGTTCAGATTTCTCATACAAAAGCTGCTCCTTTGCCATCATGGAGCTGCCCTCAAATATCCTTGTCTATGACACTTCCGATGTTTAGTACACCAATACATAACTGCATATCTTCTTTTTATCTCAGGCCATTTGAGAGAGCCCTTCTTATTCTCAGGCCTATCATTTCAGAAGGAGTTCATACATGAGAATTACCCAAAACCCAGACTGTCACACTCACCTCCTTTGGCCTACAGTTGCCTTCTCCTCGGGTGATCAAGGCATTCCAAAGCTGAGAGGAGGGGGTGTTATGTTATCATAAGATGCTGGGGGGTGTCATGTTATCAAGTTCTCCCCAAAGAGAACTTGGTGCTGGCTGCACTGCCCCCTCAATCATTCAGGCTCCAGCACAGGTTCTGTCTTGCAGTTCATTTCTGCCTCTTGGAAGAGTCAAGGTTGATACCCCTAAGCACAGCAAAGCTCTCTAATTCTACATAAAGTATGAGCAGATTTTAACCAAATATATTTATAATATACTAATAAAAATACAATGTTACAAAAGGAATATATGATTAGAAATGTTTATTTTGGTGCTGGAAATCAAACTCAGGACCTTGTGCCCACCAGGTAGGCACTACACCACTAAGCTATATTTCTGGCCTTAGAAATGTTTTGAAACATATAAATACATAGGATTTTAGAGTAGCAGTTATTACATACTGTTCAATGTACTTGGCACTACACAAGAATAACCTCATTCAGTATTCACAACAATGCTACAAAGTAAGCATGACCGCCGCTTCCCGTGTCACAGATGGTAAAATTGAACCTCAAGGAGATTTAGGAAGGTAGCCAACTATCATAGTTTATAAGGGGAGAGATAGACAAATTTGGAAATTTGACTCTCAGGACCCATTATCATATCTCCTGGTTAGAATTCTGTGTTTATACAGAATTGTAGGCTTTTTCAAACACTGTATATTGGCCTGAGTATGTAGCTCAACAGTAGAGTTCTCTTAACTGGTAAGACCCTCTATTTGATCCCGACAACTTTGAATCTTTTTCTGATGTTTTGTTTACAAACCAAGAACTCGCTTTCCTTAAAATTTCTATTATGATTCAACTAGGCTAAGAGGAAGAATGTTTAAGGAGCACCTTGTAGGTTCCAAATGCTGTGGTAGGATCAGAGAAAGCAAAAGAAACAACAGAAAAAGCAAAGGAAAAGAACAAAATACTATTGCTTTCAGACTATTCTAATAATGTGTGATTATAAGCCTGCTGTTAGAAAGTAGCTTCCCAAATAGGTCCCTATGCAACCTAAACCAATACTTCATGGTTGGCAGGGAAGACATACTCCCTCTTACATATAAAAAAGAAAAAAATCTCCAAAATACTTAAGCTTGCTCAATGTCAAATAGGAGGTATTTCCAGAAAACTAACAATGTTTTGACCATTTCAAAGTAACTCCTAGATGACTATTGTTAATTTTTAATGGGCCATTCTTGTATTAAATATATAAACAAATGTCCACTGACCATAATTTAGTATAAAATATAGTCACTGGCTTGCTATTATGTTTCTGCTGATGAAGGCAAATATTTTTCACTTACATTTTCCATACTCTAGTGTTTACCTTTTTCTTGGTCATTAGGGCCGTTTCAGCCCATAGAGCTGAACCTCAAACTGTTCTTATCTCAGCAGCTACCCAAAGTTGTGCTGCTTTACATCCTGATTCTGGTTCACAGAAGTAAAAAGATTTCTTCAAAGTGCCTCAGCAAGCCAGTTTATCCTCTTTCTACTTCTTCCATACAGGTTTGCACATTTTCTAAACACTCCAATAGGATTACAAAATAGTGGGGCTTCCCGGGTGAAAGGGTGCGGTGAAATGAGAGGAAAAACTCTGTAGCCGTGGAAAGTTTGTTAGTCAGTTTACAAATAAAGCACTCTCTTCCTGTAAAATCTGTATTATAGGACATCTAGGCTAAGAGAAAGAAGGGTTATATTCCATACAAATGACCTCTAACATTTGTGTCAATCTCTCTTAGAGCTTTGAATAATACTCTTACAATTCGATATGGAGGAATATGCAGAAAAGAACCAAAATCTTCAATATGAGATGAGTTTTCTTCATTCGTGATGAACGAAACCTCTTGAACTAAGTATTGTCTTTCCTTCGTAAAGTGGAATTTGTTGTGTTGTCTTATTTTTTCTAAACAATAAAAATTTTCCTGTGGAAATCTCCTTTGACATGGGGTACATTTAATGAGATGTATGAGATCAGTGTTTAACTATAGACATGAAAACTAAATAGAAAGTAACTCTTGAGTCTATCAAGTCACAGTTTAATAGGCTATTGAAAGATGCAGTCATATATTCAATAAAATGTAAATTCTTATGAGATTCAGAGATATGGTTGGACTCTTGACCTTCAGTGGTAAACTAAGGTAAATTTTTGTACTTGTGTAATTTCTAATTGAACAAGGAAACAAGAAAACACAATTATTAAAAAATATAAAATACGAGAGATAGAAAAACAAGCCACAGTATACAGGAGTCGATGTTGGCCTCGGCACAGGTCTGGGCTTTGACATTCTCCTGTTCAAGGTCAACAACTTCATAAAATAACCAATCTGTGACTGTGATGAATCACAACTCTAATGCTATACCATGATCATGGCTGGTAAAAATGAACAACAGCACACATGAACATCATCCATGCCACAAAGTACCAGGCATCTCTTTATCTAGGCTATTATCACTCTTTGCAGCTGCTGCTCAATCACAATCCTTCCTTTAAAGATATCCAGTCATAAGATTGCTCTGATCTGTTTGGAGCAGCCATACACTCATGCAAAGCAGAGCCTTACTTCCCAATACTCTCTGTGGTTTCCCGGGGTGCATATTCATTCAGGTTACAATGAATAATAAACTCAACATGTTCACCTCTTGGTGTACACCTTGAGACGAAGTATCCAACTAGCACCTTAATATGGTTCATGTTCCTATGGTTCCTATGGTTCCTATGGTTCCTATGGTTCCTATGGTTCCTATGGTTTCCTATGGTTCCTAGCACTTCTAAAAGGAGATCCTTTCAGAATGTGAGAGCTCTAGGACTGAGAACTTGGCCTGACCCAAAAGGTCTCTAAATGCTGAGAGGCACTTGCTGTCATTATTTTCTTCTAGTGCTGAGTAAATTACACTTATTACCAACAATATACCACCCTGTTTCTTGCTAGGTTTATACTTGCCACCATGTCTAGAACATCCCTATTTGTATATTAGTATAAGTGTACAAAGGTCCTGAAATGTACTGGAGAGCCCTTCCTAGTGAAGAATTGACTCATCTATAATGTGACTATTGTTCCTATGAGAAACATGCTGCCTGTGGAGGTCAGTGGCTATTATATCCATCCCTCTGTTTGTTTCCAAGCCCATAATAGATATCAGTCACCAAAGGCAGCACACACCATTGACCTGGATGTGGCCCCAAAATCCTTCTTCAACAAAGCAACAGACGCTTGATTTTGCCATCAGATTTGGCATGAAAGATAGAATCTCTTCACCATTCTGCCCTTACCTTTTTCTTTTTAAAACTAAGGAGGCTTCATGCTTGTTGAGATGAAGTATCCAACTAGCACATTAATATGGTTCATTTTCCTACGGTTATAGCCGTGCTCTGGTGACCTGTGGTACCCTCCTAGCACTTCTAAAAGGAAACCCTGTCAGAATGTGAGCTCCAGGACCGAGACCTTGGCTGGGCCCAACAGGTCTCTAAATGCTGAGAGGTACTTGCTGCCATTGTTTGCTTCTACTACTGAGTAAATTACACCCTCTAGTGGGGAAACCTCATTATTACCATATATTGAGAGGAAGTGCAGTGCCTTATACCTGTCCTCTCCAGTACTGGTGAGACTACCCCCTTTAGAAAGAAAGTGTAGTGCTCCTAAGTGTCAAAATTAAAGTTATCTTACACATTTTGAGTTTTACACTCAAAGTGACTGAAAGGCACAAGAAGAAACAAAAGAGGTAAAGAGACAGAGGATTATTAGCTCCTCTAGCTAAAAAACCTAAAGGCATCTGATTTCAAGAATGACTGTGTCAAAGGTCAGCAAAACAGCAAAATTTTTGCAACACATCTCCTTTTCCATCTCCTGGATCCATACACTCTTAATGTCATTTTGATTCTCATAGAGGCTTTACCTACCCTAGTTACAGACTCTGGCAGATTAACTAGTTAACTAGTTTGGCAGCAGAGAAATTTCCTTTTCCAAAATGCTAACAAAGGTTTGAGTCTTGTTTTAGTTGGCTTATTCAAAAACCAGTTAGAGTTACATGCATTCTTAGCCCACATTGAAATGGGCTGAATTACAAGGCCCCCACAACACCCAGATGTAGTCAGTCCTTTCCTATGAACTAGAAAAGGATAAAAAATTGTTCCCCCAAGCAACACTAATGTGGTACTTCCATAAACAAAAGGAATACAGGTCAACAGAACAAAGGACCATACTTTGTGCTATCTGAAGCCAGTCTCTTCCTTCTCAAGGATCTATGCATTCTCCTTGCACCTGCCTCTTCTCTACTTTTCTTCCAATACTACAGTCAACACTTTTGTCTATATTTATGATAAAATAGTTATGAGTGTCGCAGGCAGCTAAATTAGGTGGAAATATTATAGGCAGTCAGACAGGGCTAGGCAGGCCCTCAATGAGACAGTATGGAGGACAGAGTGACTTTGAAACTTTAGAAGAGACAGACACTCCCATTTAGGCAGACCTTAAAAGAGTAAAAAAAAAATGCAGCCACATAATTCCCTAGGGATGAGCATCCGGGTTTGAAATTCTAAATAGGTATTAATCACCATGAAAGAGCACTAAAGAGTCACTAACCCAACCCCCAACAGGAAGAGACCCTGTCTTGTATTCATGCCCTCTTGCTATGTGACTTGCTTCCTCATTTGGTACTGAATTTAATCAATTTTATCTGAGTAACAGCTGCTTGTAATCTCATTGGTAGACCATAGTTTTGTCCCACCTCATGCCAACCTAAGCGAGTTCCTGAGTTCTTAACCTTAGACTTGCCTCACCGCATGGTTTTACACTATAAAAGTCCCTGGAAGAGACAACTTCCAGGGACAACATGCTCTGGCCCATCCTCTGTACCTCTCTTAGACAGAAGCTTTATTTCCCCCAATAAATAAATTCTGCTCTTAACCTCCATTTTCTCCTAAAATTCATTCTACTGTTTTAAAGAAAATTAATTTATCCCAGGTAACTTTCAGGTTGGGATTTTCTTCCTCCTATATCACAAGGACCTCAGAAGCTAAAACACTATATTTTAGTAGAAGGTATGGAAATGTAATCCAGACAATTGAACTTGCTTGGAGCCTCTCTTTCATTCCCAAACAAAAAGTCTTGACTTCTATTCCACAAACCATAGACAGTTTGATGCCTTTCTAATTTCAGAAAACCCTAGGGGTGGGGCTGGAGAGATGGCTCAGTGGTCTAAAGCACCTACTTGGAACAAGCTTGGCAAAGTACAGGGACCACGGTTCGATCCCCCAGCACCACATGCCAGCCAGCTGTGCCCCCTGGTGGGCTGAGCTGGCCACACACACACACACACACACACACACACACACACAATAAATAAATGTTAAAAAAAAAAAAAAAAAAAAAGAAAACCCTAGGGGATTTATGAACCCTTGTTCTGTACCCCTAATTTTGTAAAGTTTTCCATTAGCCCTTCTTTCTACCTCTGCTACTGATATAGGGGAAGTGAAACTCCTGACCTGACCTAGACAAGTTCATGTTCTCTAAAATCAAAGAATGAATTTTAGGAACAAACAGAGGTTGAGAGTAGTATATTTATTGGGAAAGAAAGCTTCTGTCTGAGAAGGACAGAAGGGGGACCTGAGCAGGTTGCCCAGGAAGCTGTCTCTTCCAGGTTATTTTTATAGGGCAAAATCATATGGGGAGAAGGTGGAAAAAAATGGGAACTCACTTAGGTGGACATGAAGAGGGACAAATCTATCATCAACCAATGGGATTACAAGCACCATGGCTCAGGTAAAATTGATTAAGTCCAGGACCTAATGGGGAAGCGAGTCACATAGCAAGTGGGCATGCATGTAGAACAGGATTTTATCCAGTATCCAGCCAGTAGTAGTCCAATTAATGATTCTTCCTGGCTTACTCAGGGTGATGATCAATCCCAGATGCTAATCTTTGAGGGGGTCAGCATTTGTTTGAGCTTTGGTGTTTAGGTCTGGCCTACAGAGGGAGTATCCATTCCTCTTACAATTTTAAGGTATCTTGTCTTCTGTGTTATCTCCTTCGAAGGCCTAGCCCTGTCTGACTGCCTATAATATTTCTATCTAACTCAGCTACCTACAGCATTCCCCCTCTCTGAAGAAGTAACCTGAAGTGCCATGAGGGAAACATGGGTGATGACCACTCTAACTTCTTCAGGCTGAAAGGGATCATAGTTGTTGATCTGCAATCAGATATACTCTTCAGAGGTTCTACATAAAGATCCTTGATAGATAACAGGCATTTTAATCTTGGGTAGACGTATAACTTTGAATCTGGAGAGACAAAACCAAAGAAACAATTAAGTATGCATAGGCCCAATAATAATATCAACAGGAAGACTATGAATGCAGTCAACAAAGGTTTCCACCAAGAGGAGCTAATAATGGCTTACCATAAGGATAATGAGTTCAAGGTCCCAGGGGCTTCAGAGTCTGACATATCATTGATTTGTTATCTAATATCTTGAACAGCTACTGCAATATTTGCAGAAGAATGAGGAATGTTCACATAACATTCAGCTTTTATAATTGCACAAGTACCCCCTTGTGCTGTTGTTTCAGTGTCTAATGCCGTCTGATTTTGGAGGACAGCCTGTCTCATTCATTTCACTTCTTCATTTAAAAAAAAGAGAGACTAGCTGTAGTATTATTTAAGGCCCGCTGAGTATAGTTGGTTAAGGCCTCAATGTGTTGCATGATCTCTTCTAGCCCTAGAGAAGGGATAAAGATAGAGGCCAAGTGATCGTACCAGTGAAACATGCTTCTGGACCATCGATATTGTAGATGGAGTAAATTTTCAGGTTTGTCAATACTTTTGACACTCCTGCCTTGAAACCATACAAACCCTAATGTGCATCTCCCTATCCATCCAGGGGGTAGCCAGGGCCACAAATTGGTCCCACAAGACCAATGAATGCCATTGG